CCCCCCCCGCTCTGCCCCACGCGTCTCCCGGCCGCCTCCCTCCTCTCGGCTCAGAGTCTGGGACTTAATTACACCCTGACGCCGTTTGTTTTCTGAAAAACATGTTTATTTTGGTTCTGACTCATTGCAGAGAGTTTAGAAAAGACAAAAACGAAAAAGAGGGAAAATGAAAATCACCCGCAGTCCTGCCACCCAGACACAAGGCCGTGCGCGTCTGTGTGTCTGCCTCTGCGCACACACTCGCTCCCGCCACACGCGCTTCCTCCGGGAGACAGGCGGCCACACAGGCCACGCGGGGGCCTGGCCTGTGGCTGCTTCGGAATCCCGCGAACGCAGCCCTGGCGTCACCGCTTCGGCTTTAGGTCGTTTTTAGACGTTGAGATGTCATTCGCGCGGCGTAAGAGGCCGCTTTTCTGGAAGTGGACGTGCGGGTGGTCGGCATGTCTACGTACAGACGTGCGAGGCCGTTTTGAGTCCTGGTGAGAGGAGTCGGAAGTGGGGCTTTGGGAAGAGGGGGAGACGCACCACCCGTGCACAGTATAGATGAGAGCCGTGTGCTCCGGGACAGGGAGGGAGGCACGATTCCCAGGTGACATGGAGCAGGGGCACCTGAGCTGTGGGGCTGGTGAGAGTCGCTCCAGGGGAAGAATCGTGAAACCCACGCTGAGGAGTTAGGAATTGACCGGAAGCCCAGGTGACTCTGAGCAAGAGAGAGAGACGAGGTCACAGCCTGGAGCCGGGCGGGTGTCTCCAGTCTGTGTGGGTGGATGGAAGGATGGGCACATGGAAGGGTGGATGGATGGACAGATGGATGGAATGAAGGATGGATGGGTGGATGGGACAGATGGGTGATGGGTGGATGGACAAGTGGATGGACAAAGAGATGGATGGAGGGATGGATGGACAGATGGTAGGTGGATGGAAGCATGGATGATGAATGGATGGAAGGATGGATGGATGGATGATGGACAGATGAATGGATGGATGGATGATGGATGGAGGGATGGATGGATGAATGGGTGGAAGGATGGATGATGAATGGATGGAAGGATGGATGGATGATGGACAGACAGATGGATGAATGGGTGGAAGGATGGATGGATGATGGACAGATGGATGGATGGATGGGATGTTGGGAGACTGGGGACGAGGGGATGCACAGTGCACAGCTATAACCTCCCCAGTTCTCACTCTGGTCGGCAGGGCGCCTACGAGACCCTGGACACGAGGAAGGAGAAACTAGATTGTGGGAAGGACTGGGAGCCTATGTCAGGGAAGCCAGCACTGATGGGACTTCTCCTCCTTCCTTCTCTCTCCGCCCCCGCCCCCGGGTTCCTTGAAAAGTGCTCACCTGTGGCCTGGTCTCCCCTGGTCCCTCTCACTGCAGAGTCTGCTGGGACGGGTCCTCAGTGTCTTTGAAACACTGGGTGCTGCTCACGTCTCCTAACCTGTGACATCACCGCGCCCTTCCGAGAGGCCAACGGGGAAACCCCGTCTGCCTCTTCCTCCTCCAACCACAGCCGCCCGCCCGAGGCCCAGGGCAGGCGTCCAGGCCCCGGGGAACCACAGAGCCCAGCTCTCAGACAGCCCAGGAGGGACCCAGAAACCAGAAACCCCCTCGACGGGCGCGAGGCCCCCGATGGCGGGGGCCAGGAGGGGTGCGCTGGCTGTTTGTGGTCCCCACCCCAGGATTCCAGGACCGTCACCCCCAGCGCTGGCCCTCTGCCCAGGCCTGCGGGCCGTGTCTCCAGGGGAAGCTCATCCAGGCTGCACAGAGCCTCGCCTGTGCCTTCCCCCGGCGGGCGGGCAATTATTTTTATACGCTGCTGCCGCCGATTAAACACGAGGGAGGGTGCTCAGGTGTCACCCTTTGATGTGCAGAGAGGAAGGGCGCTCTCTGCCTGCCAGGCGGGCGCGGGCGGGCGCTGGCTCATCCGTCAATGCCTGGCAGGTGGAGGGAGGGGGCTGGGCCTCGGTGATGTAGCCCGCACCCCCCCCCCAGCCCCTTGCGATTGCCTTTGTTTCCATACCCACCTTTGATCTAGTGAAGGGCTGACTGTGAGGGGAGGGATCTCGTCAGGTGGCATAAACCAGAACTGACATGCCCGGCCGGGCTGGCTCTGTGGTTGAGTGTCGACCTCTGAACCAGGAGGTCACAGGTTCGATTCCCGGTCAGGGCACATGCCCGGGTTGCAGGCTCGATCCCCAGTAGGGGGCAAGCAGGAGGCAGCCGATCGACGATTCTCTCTCATCATTGATGCTTCTCTCTGTCTCTCCCTCTCCTTTCCTCTCTGAAATCAATAAAAAAAAAAACACTGACGAAACTTGGGGGGCAGTGTTGCTGTGGCTCTCAGCTGCCCCCCTCACCCCCCTCACCCCACCTCACCCCCAGAAGGGAAGTGTGGGGTCTCGTTCAGCCACCACCTCTCTGTCGCCGAGGGACCCCGCCCAGGAGAGCTCAGGTTCCAGAGTTTTCGTTTTCGGACCCTGTGAGGGCCTGGCGCTGGGCTCCCGGTGTGTGGAGGGCGGCTAGGACCCAAGGGAGGGGACCCCAATGTCCGGCCCAAGCCGTTCACCAGACCTCGGCCAGCGATGTAGTAGGGGCAGCATCCTCCTCTGTGGGGGGCCTGGGGGGCCGTCCCTATGACCCTGCTACCGGGCAGCGGCTGAGGGACACCTCCTGCCAAGTGGACGTGAGCGGGAGGGAACGGAACACTGGACTCAAAGCCAACAACCTTCTTTTTTTTAAAAAAAAAAAATGTCATTGATTTCAGAGAGGAAGGGAGAGGGGCAGAGAGAGAGAGAGAGAGAGAGAGAGAGAGAGACATCAATGATGAGAGGGAATCATGGA